CGAGTTAGTTGATGAAGCCAGAAAGTACCGACTAGACAGAGTTGGAGTCTCGTAAACAAGGCACGTCAGGGCCCTGAAATTCTGAATCTCAGGTGGCGAAAAGTATTCAACTATGGTAGAAGGTACCTCGCCATAGCTGACTGTAGAATATACCAGGAGCAGTGCGGCTTCAGGTCCATCGAAGTATCGCCTTCCAGATCTTCGCTTTATGCTAGATTGTTAAGATATCATGGGAGCTCGCTCATCCGGCTTGCATCACTTTGTTAAAGTGAAGAAAGCACATGACTGGATCCCGAGCAACAGGCTATTCTCGTTCCTCTAAAGATGTGGGATCGATGGCCTGTTGCTACGGGACATCCAGTTGCTACAAGTTGATAGCAGGTGCTGCGTCAGATTAAACGGCGATAAAGTTGGGACCCTTCTACTTTGGCATTCGTCTTTGCTAAGCTGCAAATTGTCTCCTCTCCTGTTTGTTTTCTACATGGAGAGGAGAGTCAGGCACAAACAGGGCTACATGTACAATACTGCAATTGATGTGGATACAAGAAGTTATCTGCTTGCAAATAAACTGAAAGGCAGTAAAACAGGGAGAGTTTAGGTACTTTGAGGTCGTGTTCACTGGTGAAGGAAAATGAGAGGAAGAAATCAATCGGCGAATTGGAATGGTCAGCAGTGTTTAGCGTGAGGTAGCCTTAACCGGAGTGACTAAAGCAGAGGTGAATTTTAAAGACTAAGTTCTTTGTGTTCAAGTCGGTCTTCATCCTCAGACTTAACTGCGGTTATGAGTCGAGGGCCATAAATAAAAACTTCTGTCCTAGATTGAAATGTGCTTTCTGAGACGAATCGCTAGGCTCGCACGTCTCGACATGGTCCGGAGTTCAGATATGCCGAAGAGCCTTGCTGTACAACCGCTCCTCCTCCTCATTGAGCAGTCGCAGCTGCAATAATTTAGGCACGCTTTGTGACAGCTTCTAGGAAGGAATGCTAAACAGCTATTACTTGTCCAACTGAAGACCTGGGAGCATCCAAGAATGACCTGAAGCAAGTGTCTCGACATACTTTGCTCTAGACCCAAGCTTAAACGCTGACACAGGATACTCAACTTATGAAACACTCTCTGATGCGTCTGCCTTCAGTACCAAACGGGTAAGTGGCAATCTAAACCGACTGAATGACTGAACTTGAAAATCGAATATTTCTGGCGATTCCCTTGCAGCAGCGACTGTTTGTTAACGGTAACTTCCATACATGCAGCGGGAAAATACGCTTACGTTGTGAAATGCCGAAAGTAACATAAAATTTTATTTTCAAATCAAATTTATTAGCTTGTGCAACGATTGTTGCTATCAGCATAGGACAATGGCAGCAATTATGCGCTAGCAGAGTGTACAGCTGTTAGGAGGTCAGAGCAAATTGCCAGCCAATCACACAGATCAGTGACACACACACACATGCACACACACACACACACACACACACACACACACACACACACACACACACACACACACACTTCTCTTCACTGGCGGTATTGAAATCTAACGGTTCTTCTAGCAAACCCATAAAATCGTATTTTTATAATGCATAAATATTTATTCAGCGGATGCAACCGTTTCTACTCGCTGTCTTGATGCAGGTGCCTACAGTGGAACTACTTTCAAATTTTTGTACTGCATGGTAATCGTTGGTCCTGCTCACTTTTGCTTCGTTGAACTCTTTCCAAATTCATAATTGCGCTTTGTGGCTATGCCTTGGTTTCTTGATGAAGTGGCCGGTCACTTCTTGAAGACTGATGGGACTGAAGTATTTCTTTACATTCAAAATATGCTATTTATTTAAAATGTTTTAACTAACTGAAAGATGTTGTTGCTAATAATTTTGCACTCAGCGATGGCACTTTTCTGAAGAAGCATCTATTTACTTAGATCAGAGTATTAGAAATGGGCGCTTCACATGCTTAGTCCAGAAATAATGTCATTTGGGTAATTTAATTTGTCGGTGAAAGTAATTCAGCTCTCAGCACTACATATTTCTGATAAATCCAACTGCTTTAATTGCAAAATCGTTGTAATTCATATGTCGGAACAGGCGATACAACCATTTAGGTAAACAGGAAAATGTCACAATATTTTATTCATTTTCGTTCCAGTTAAGGATTTCAGTACCATGGCTGGAACTGACGAAATCAGTAGAAATTAATAAGCATCTTGGAAACTTCGAGAGCGAAGCCGAGTATTTGAGAGGAGCATCTGACTGGTATCCCTAGGTGAAATCCGGAGTTGCCTCTCGAAAAGGGTTTTGTGCAGGCTGCTCTGCGTGTTCTTGATCTTGTGGAAGCATAAGTGGCTGCATCGGAGGCAAGAAATCTGGCTGTGCAGGTACGTGATCGATATACGGCTGTGAAGGCATCTGCGCCATATGGATTGGTGGGGGCTTCCGAATTGCGACGGCGAACTCTGTGCTGGGCTGGGGTTGATCAGAAGCCTGTGTTTCTAATTCAAAGTCCAATGGCTGGTTTGCCGACAATCCATTGTTTAATAAGCATTTGTTCAAGCATTCCCACATGAAATCATAATTTGGTCTGTCTAAAAAACCGAGGCCCATGATGTACCAAAATATTTCCCCATATTCTGTTGGACTGTTGCTGAGTAGAAGGCCAGGATAGTAAAGCAGGATGTTTGCTCTGTCTTCAGCCATTTGTTTGAAGCGAAGAGATATCGATTCAATATGCTAAAAGTGTAAAACTGCAATCAGAATAAGTTTTGTTCATCAGCTTGATTGAAAGTTTAGTGTCATGATTAAGCGATGGACAATGTCGGTTTGGACAAGAACAAAACATAAGCAGCTCATAGAATTCTAATATGTGATCCAAACCACAAATGCCACCGCTTCACCGGCAACATCGAATTTGGAAAGACCTATCAATGCACACTTGTTGTCCTTCTGGAGCATCTTAATGACGGATGCAGTAAAATATGCCTAAAATTGAGATTCTGCCTGCCGTCCCCAGCGGACATAATTATATTTCGCATTAGCCACGCCATAGAGCTTAACTGACGATACAGACAATTTTGTATGAGTGCAAAGAAATTAATTCATCTTTAAACTCCGGAGATGTCAAACCCGAATCTCGAAAGATGGCAAAATTTCTTCTAACCGTAAATTCCCTTCAGCAAGAAATTCTAATTTCTAGCACCTAACTTCTCACAGTGTCAGTGAAGGCAGACAATAAAAAAAGTAGGAATATCGCTCTTGGAAAAGCACGTCTATAACTCATAAGTTATGAACAAATCGGTTATAGCATAATAGTTCCGCTCATGCATTATGACCCTTATTCTTGCAGACCCCGATATGAGTGTTTCAGAAGTATTTCTGGTTCACTTCGCAGAAGTACGTACAACGAGCGTAAGTAATGTCTTATACTTTAAGGGTCAAAATGGAAATTATTTAGGTAGAATGTAAGTTTGTTATTAATACTCATACTCAAATTAAACAGTTTTAATCCTCTGAACGGCAAAATCTATGTAGAAATACCTGCTGATCATAATTTACTGTAGAAACTGCTAAGCGTTTTCGTACATCTATATCAGTAATGTCAGTTCGTTTTCGGACGTTTGCATGCAACTGCATATTTCAGTGCTTCATTTTCAAGCCGGAAAACACGAGCCCAAAATTTATGTTTACGAACTAACATCATACGGTAAAAATGAATGTAAGATGCCGGAAAGCGGAAAAGACAAAGGTGTAGCTCATTGCAGATCTTGAAACCTATTATGAATTAAAATTGATAATTATTTTTTAATCCAGCGAAATATTTTTAGTTTATTATTTAATCAGTCAAATACTGAATCAATACCTGTACGAGCGGTGTGAATTTAGGTAGGATACCAGATGTTATTGTCTTTCAAGGCGGTGAATTTCTAGTTGGGCAGTTTAATCATCTTTGTCATCATCCGTTTTAAATGTCGAGTGTTCATTAGTACGAGTTCAGAAAAGTTAGAGTTATGGCAAAATTTGAGTACGATTTGAAAGGACTGGATTGCGACTTTCAGAACTCACCGACAGTGACTCTGGGATTGGAAAGAAACAAGGAAAGGAAAGCTTTTAACCTTTGGGATATCTCCGTTCTTATACGTTCATAATTGGGAGACCATCTGTAGTTTCCTTCTTTTCAAGAACTGTATGATCTGGCGTTATCTGCATTTCTATGTTGTGAATTAGTAGTACTATGTTTTAAAGGCAGAATCTACAGCTACGTGACAAGCATAGCGTGTAAACTGTTTTCTTCCAATTGATTAGTACTCATCTATCTACCTCAAGGAGGGAAGGAAGGCGAATAATCCACCGAGGCTTGAATTCAAGGCCTCACGGTTCTGAGCCCGGCGATCACCGACTGAGTAACCCTGGTTTGTAGATCGACCGAAGTAGAGGAAAAGAGAGTATATGTTGCTTCAGATTCCTTTTTTTCAGCTTATTTGCTTAGTACTTAGTGCGCTTTGGCAAATCTGCGCATAGTTCTTGGTTTTTCAGCTTCCTATTTTTCTTGTTCGAGAAAGCTTCAGTGTGAGGGGGGGTGCAGTTCAACGTTCTTCCGCCTGTTAGAACCCGTCTAGCAGCAATCGTGTTTATAAGGGATATCTTTCCTCAAAG